ATCCGCGATCTAATTATTACTCAACAACCAGTCGCGAGATTCATGACGTGCGTTTTGTTCGCGCGTATATTCCGAAATATTCCCCGGAAGAAACGAACTTTGAAAAACCTTTTACACACGTACACGCTAATACGATCGATCTAACAACGTACTCGATTTCGCGTAAGCTCGAACAGGTACGTGGCGGTATTGCGTGGAAGTTCGAACGCTCGCGGCGACTGCCAAGCTATTAAATGAATGGGAATGCTGTTTGTTAATTAGGGGGATTGTTGGCGTCTGATACTTGGCGAGCTACTCGGCGAGTACACGCACTCGGGTATAACGTCATTCGCATAACGTCACGCCCTTTGTCACGATTTTGATCGTGAAAAGCCAAATCGACCATCCGCTGTTTTCTCTCTCTGTAAATCTTTCTCTGTTTGTTTAAATACTAAGAGCTTTCCCTTGGCAAGTAGACGCGAAGACGTAGACCGTTTCAACCGTTGCTGGAGAAATGTACTCACGCGTTCCGAATGGAGCTGACAATGCTGCTGCGCTGTGTGATTGCAGGCGCAAGAGTGGTTTGAAACAGTCAGGTGAAACGAACGGATACCATCGACGTTCCCGTCTCGAGCGAGCTGCACGATGTTTATGGCACGAAGGGCGGCATGCTACTGGCCAAATCATCCCTGTCTCACCCCCAACTCACCCCATTATCAGGTCGACGGCAGCGCAGCTACGTGGTGGTTGCAACGACTATAATAGGCGCTCGCAGTAAGTCGAATTTCAAACCTTCTTTCCTTTTCCTTTCTTCCCTCCACGTTTCTCTCTCCACGTAATGTTCTTTTTTCTCCTGTTTTCGAAATATCTCCTATTGTTGTACGTATTTCCCAAGTTTGCGCGACGATTCTTTCTCAAAGGTTTTCGTCTTCTGCGAAATTCGATATTTTCAATGGGAGTTTACATCGGCGAAGTCGGAGTCCATTTCACCGAAGTTCTGAAAGTGAAATATTAATATTGTTGGAACGAACTGGTTCTCTGGTTTCCTTTCGCAGGAAGAGAACAAGAGCGAACGTATGATGCGCGATAGTTTTGATTTATAATTCATTCGATTGTTCTGAATATAGAAAGGCTACTTTCAAGCGTTTCATGCCTCTTCGTTACTAGTACTTCGCTTCGGATGGAAGTTGGACGTGACGCCTACGCGATCGTTTAGAAGTAAGCAATTATTTATGCATCGATCGGCACTCTCTTTCTTTAGAATCACCGGTAAAACTCTAAATGAAAACTTCTCATTCGAGCGGAGAGGCGCCATTTCGGCGAATCTCCAATTCCTTCGAACAATCCGCCGAGCGGATTGATTCGATTTCCTTCGAAACGTAATTACTAGACTGTGCATTTCTGGGAAATATTATTGCGCATTTCTAAATAATTGAGAAAATTGTATATGACGCGAAAAAATAAACATAATAAAGTATATAAATTGTCCGATAACCATCAATGATATTTGGCAAGCGAAACAATTCTATTTTTTTAATTATATTCCCAGAAATATAAATTTCAGTATCGAAAGTGCAATATTTAATTTAATTTTGTACGTGAATGATTCTATTTTTGTACAATCTTGCACATTGAATGAAACACTGTACGTTCTCGTAAATTCAAGTTTCCTCTTCACAACGATTTTTCTTCTATGTTTTACAAAACTTTGAAATCCTATCGCCATTTAATCCTGATGTTTAAAATTTAAAATTCATATTTCTCCTAATATTTGAAATTTGAAATTTCAATTATATTTGAAATTCAATAAAATGATGAAGTCACACAAGTCACACAGAAAATTTTAAGAGATCGTTGCAAAGAGGAAAATTTCAACTTTCGAAACCGATGGCCATAAAAAGAATTTTTCAATGTTTTTACTTTACAGACGCTTGAATTTTTTTTTTTTTTTTTTTTTTTTTT